CCCACACACCTCGGATCACCAGGTCCGTCCTGACCCCCTCCCTCCCCTGCCCATCCCCCTCCTTCAACACCACCTCCTTGTGAACGCTCCTTGCCCCAAAGGCCATCCTGCCGACGTCGCCGATCACGTCTCGCAGCTTGTTGTGCCGCTGTATCACCAGCCCACCCTTCGCGCAGTCCAGGGGATGGGTGAGGGTGAAGGCGGAACCACACCCTGGGCAGCTGGAGGGGAGGTTGGGTGGGCGGTAGTCGCTGCAAAGGTCATGGACAGGTCCTCGCAGGCGCGCACTTGCTTGTTCTTCTTTCTGCGCTCGTGCGTCGCCAGGATGGATCGCGTGGGGCGGTTGCCGTAAGAGGGAGCATCAGCGTTAGTAACGCACACGTCGAACGATGCATCCCTCTGGCGGTCCCACACACCTCGGATCACCAGGTCCGTCCTGACCCCCTCCCTCCCCTGCCCATCCCCCTCCTTCAACACCACCTCCTTGTAGACGCTCCCTGCCCCAAAGGCCATCCTGTCGACGTCGCCGATCACGTCCCGCAGCTCGTTGTGCCGCTGTATCACCAGCCCGCCCTTCGCGCAGTCCAGGGCATGGGTGAGGGTGAAGGCGGAACCACACCCTGGGCAGCTGGAGGGGAGGTTGGGTGGGCGGTAGCCGTAGCGAACCGCCAGGCCGTCCCGAAAAGCATCGCCGCTGAGGTCGGTCTGGTCGCTGCATGACGGCATGGCCGTGAGCCACGCGTGCGTCTTGGCCTCCTGCGCGCGCCGAGCAGCTTGTTGGCGTCCTGGGGGAAGGCGGGCGACACCGTCGTCGAAGCGCTCCTTGGCCTGTGCGTCCGCCCGCCTCTTCCCCTCGTGAATGGCCGTGTGCATCTGAAGGCGGTGGATGGACGGGTCGAAGGGCTGGTCTGGGTGGGTGCCATGCTGAATGGCGGTGGTGAGCACGTTGGTGCCCTGGACGGACGTCTCGTACGCCTCAGCGATCCGCTCGGTTGGATCGTGCACCCCCGTGCCGCCATGCCGCACCGGCAGCAGCATGACCGCGGCCTCGGCATCGTCGACGGACTTGCCGCAGAGGCCGGGCAGGTACGTCGTGGCGAGTAGGTGGCGAAGAGGCTCGAAGGTCTCCTTCTCCTCGGGGATGACGCGCATGACGAAGTCCCACTCGGCCTGCAGCGACTTGGTCATGACGGCGTGGGCCTGCTGCGGGCGCTTGGTCGCGGCTCGTGCGACGTCCCTGATGCACTCCTCCCACCGCTCCACCTTCTGCTGCACGTACGCACGGCGGCCCTCCCTTGTGCCGACGTAGCCGCCCAGGTACCGGCTCCCTGTCGTAATGGTCAGCCCCTCCACCCCCTCAAACACCTCCCGCGCCCTTTCCTTCAACCCCTCTCGCACCACCAAGATGGACTTGTGTGAGTTGGCAAAGTAGCCGTACGGCGGCCCCCTCTCACCAAGCCCGTCCCACCACTCCCTCGCCCGCTCGAGGGAGCTGCACTTAGACGAGTCGTCCGCGAACCACACCTGTGGCCCCTGCTCTGCTGGCTCCTTGAGGCTGCGGATGAGTGGCAGGGTGCCGGCGGCATACATCTGCATGGCCATCGGATCGCCCTGAGTGGTCCCCTCCTGACTCCACAGCGGCTCCTTCTCGCCCCTCAGGTAGAGCGCAGCGTGGCTCTGGTAGGTGTTGAACAGGAACCGGGACGCACGTGGCCACAGTTGTCGGGCATTCCACAGCGCTGCAGGGCGACTGAGGGTGTTGAAGGCGTTCGTCGCGTCCCCCAGCAGCACACACTCCGCCTCCCCCTCACCACAATCAAACAGGCCGCTCACAGCGTGAATCGCCGCCTCTACGCCCCCCTTCTGGCCGGCACACAGCTGGTCCTCGCCGCACTCTCTCTCCAAATCAAATGCGGTCTCCATGCTCATCGCCTTGCCCATTATGCGCATGAGGACCTCCCCTACACCGATCGGGCGGACACCAGGGCACTTGTCGAGGGCCAGCAGACGGCATCCACGCAGGGCTTGGACGTGCTCCCAGTCCACCACCTCGTTGGCCATCATGCGGGTGGCGTCCGCGACCGCCTGGCGCAGCCGAGTGCTGTGGCCGCCGTGTTTGAGCAGGAGGTCCTTCCACAGCGTCGCGTCGCCCCCCGATGGTCCCGCCCCACCCTGGATCTCGCGCGCAGCCCGCTCGACCTGGTTGGCCGTTATGTCGACCCCCACAAGCGGCGGGAGATCACCATCGATGAACGCCGCGGGGTCGGCGGTCCGCTGCTGAGGATGCTTGTCCGCCAGCACCTCCCGGACGGTCCTGGTGTCGTTCTCGGCGACGTCTTGTGGGTCCAGCACACCACCGCCCCCACGCTCAGTCAGGAACCGCTGTGCCTGTCGCAGGCGCCCCTGATCCACCAGCCGGCTGAAGACACGGATGGTGTGCTCGTTCTCGTCCTCATCTCCCTTCAGCGGCTTCAACGGCGGGCCCAGCTTGTCGCAGCGCTCGGCCTCGAGCACGAGCCGAGACCGACGATCGAGCACGAGCCTGAACCGACGTCCTCTCCTCCGTCATGGTGGCCGGCCTGAAGCTCTCGCTCTTCGTCGCCCTTGCGGTGTTTTTCACTGCAATGGGACTCTCCGCCCTCGTCTCCGCCGAACACATTCCCATTGAGGACAGCCTGCCCCCGATGCAGGGCATAGGTCCGCAGCAGCAGGCGCGGATGTGCAGACATATCATGCTTCCACTGATACAATTGGCATTGGCATCATGGTATTTCATGACTTGCTCCTGCATGCAGGGGACAACAAGCCCTGCACGAAGAGCAGGGACTGCCCCAAAGGCCTGAGATGCTTCAAGGAGATTTACGAGAGCGGCAACATTGCCGAGAACGGTCTCTGCAAGGTGCGAACCGAGAAAAGAACAACAGCCAGTGACGGTCCAACCAGGCCGAATACGTGGTGCCTGCACGGACTGTGGCTCTGTATGCGTGTCTGTAAGCGCAGGAACGCGGTGGCCTTGGGGATCACTGTACCTTGACGAAATGGTGCGGAGACGGTCTAATGTGCGCCGATTGGTTCAGCCCCTATTTTGGCGAACATAATTTGAAATGTCTTCGACTAGTAGATGCATGAAACGGGCGATGCCACGCTGCCGGCTGGCTTGTTTGTTTCTTTTTGCACAACGCCAACCAGCGTTTCTTTCTTCTTGCCTTTTCTTTCGCCAATGGCAAACGCATTGTGTGAAGCTGATACATACGTGTCTGAGTGTCCGAGTGTCTGAGTGGCTGGCTGGCTGGCTGAGTGGATGGCATGCGCCGGGCGGGCGGGGTGGACGGACGGGGGATGGTGGACCAGACAGAAGAAAGATAGAGAGAGCGGAAGCAATGAACGGACAGCGGACACACGGATGGCAGATTGAAAGAGAGAGAGAGAGAATCTAATCCAGACCATTGTCATGATCGCCCGAGCCGCTATCGCCACTGACCCCGCCCATACACACAACCGACCCCGCCAAGGTCGCGGGCCTCATTCGGCCAGCACCCTCGCTCGTCAACACAGCAGCGGGCGCAGTGGAACTCACACCATCTGCACCCATGTAAATCACCATGTTCTTCGCAGAGTAACATGCCGGGAAGGACAAATGCCGCAATTGATGCACAGCCGCCCCTCTGTCTCTCTCCCTCGACAGCCGGGCCCGCATGGCTCCAGTCACACGCACACGCACACGCACACACACGAGCTCTTGGACAAGATGTCAGCGGCCAGTGTCATGGCCTCATTCATGGGCCAGACTAAGCAGCTCTCGGCCGACATGACCGGATGCGGTCATGTCGACCGAGAGCTGCTTAATCTGCTGCACGAATGGCACGCTTTGGTCATCTCTACATACTCTCTATGTGTGTCATGAAACGTGCGATCACCCAACCAGCATCAACCACCATCAATCACGGACGGACACGGAGCTCTTTCTCACATACATGTGCAGCCAGCCAGTCACACACACGCATGAGAGTGTGCCTTTCCCAGCACCATTTCCACAACGGACGGCCGGTCATGTCATCCACTTCAGCAACCCAATCAGCTGTCACTCACACACTTGCACCACACACGTGCATGCCGCTAATGGCCGAGGCAGCCACATCACCCGCCACAACAAATTGCTGACGAGGGAGGGAGTCACAATCACACATAGCCACCAATGCACTCAATGGAGCCATCCTTCTGGGTGCGGTGCCGGTGAGTACCCACCTGATCGAGGACCTCGTCGCCCTCCTCATCGTCCATGAACGTCTCACGCGACGACCGACGGCTCAACTCGACCTCTGGGTAAATCATCAAACACACACACACACACATATGGGCAACATAGATCATAACGGACGGACACCATCCCTCCTCAGCCCCCACCAGCCAGCCCCCCTACCGAGTGCGTTGGCGAGCGCATTGAGAATTTCATCGCTGCGCCGGCTGTCCTCGTGGTGGGGCGGTGAGCGGAAGAGGCCTATGGTGCTCGACAGGGCCAGCAGCTGCCCGGGACTCCACGCACACAAACACCGCTCCACCTCATGCACCTGCATTCATCACCCATGTGCCGACATGACATGCAGCCAGCCTGATGTGTGGCGAGCGAATCAGCCGATAGATACTCACCAGATCGGTGAGCGCCTGCAGGGGCACCTCGTTGTCGTAGAGGTGTGTGGTGTCGGCCGCCTGGTGTGAGGGCCGCATGTGCCGGAGACGGCCGAACACCCGCAGCAGCGCCACCATGTCGCCTGGACGCATTGTGTAGCCTGACAGACACACACACAGCCACCAAACCAACCAAAAGGTAGAGAGCAAACAGAGCGGACGGACGAGTGAGCCTTCTCTCTGTGCTGTGTTCTCATTGGCTGACTGACTGACTCACCGGCAGCCTTGCCGCCCTTGATCTTGCGCGACAACCCAAGACCTGAGGCATCACAAGCCAAGCGACCGACCGACCGACCATACGCAGAAAGACGCACACGTGTCTGTCTTGGGCGCTGGGCGGCTGACCGACTGCCTTGAGGATGCGGCCAGTGGAGAGCAGCAGTGCGTCGCTGCAGTGGGGATCGACATGCCCGCCCAGCACTGGGTGGCTCCGCAGCGACAACATGTCTGCCCCACACAGATATATCGGAGAGAGAGATCCAGCAAGACAAAGGTTGGATGGATGGATGGACGGTGGGATGGATGGTGGGATCCCCGCCTTGTCTGTCGACCGTTGCTGCCACTCTAGTGGCACAGGCTACCATTGATGGCTGCCACGCTGGTGGAGAGAACGTCTGCCTGGTCGCCGATGTGCATGCGGTAGAGCAAATGCTGCACACGCAAACAAACACGCTCACACACCTGGCACTCACTCCCCTCCCTCCCCCTGGCTGCCCTGCTGGTGTGTCTGTCTGTCTGTCTGTCCCACTGACCGACCTGACCTCGTGAGCGTATCGGTGTGAGAATCCCTCATGCAGCGCCACAAGACTCCGATGCAGCCCATCCACTTTGTCACACACCCCACAGTCCCCAGCCGCACTCGTCACACTCATCCGCAGCAACATTCTGGTGGCGTTCCCGAGATGCCGTGTGCACTCTCCCAGCAGGTCAGGGAACGCCAGCAGCACATCCATCATCTGCCCGTCGTCCTCACCGTCGCTGGCATACCACCGCGCCGCACGGTCGACCGCCTTAGCCGCAATGCTGTTGAGCCTCTCGAGATCTTTGGTTTGGGGCGTCATGGAAGGGCCCCGGAGTCTGGTGCTGAGAATATCGGCCTTACTGAGGGCTGCGGTTAGGTCGGCATAGCGCGTCAGACAGTCCTTGATGAAGGAAAGCGGACAGCTCCCACACTGACGGATACACAGACAGCCGCAGACAGACAGACAGACATGGGCACATAATCATAAGCCACCACACCCACTCGTTCACTTCACCTGGTGAGCCATTGCAGCGTCGAGCATCTGCGCGACGAACAGCTGACAGTCCCACAGGGGCCCTCCAGCCAGCCCTCGCCACGCGTCCAGCTCTCGTGTCACATCGGCCGGGTCGGCCAGAGGGGGATCGGCGTCAGAGAGGGCGTCAAGGGCGGCCAGGCCCATGTAAGCATACCGAACAAAGAAGTCGCTCAGATTGAGAAGCCGGGCGGTCGGCACTGACACGGACTCTGTGGCGGAAAGATCCTCTGCAGGTGGCTGTGTGTGCGGTGTGCTGCTGTAGAGGCCGAAAGGGTCGGTCTCGTCGCTGTCTTGATGAGGGCGCCTCAGCGGGACACTCATCTCCTTCCCCCCCTCACTCAGCGAGAAGGCCGGCCCCTCATCTGCCCCAAGAGGTGCTGCCATGTCAACCTGGAAGGCCTGCCCGAACCGCGCCACCCCCTTGGCCAGCAGCTCCCGCGCCACCACGGCAAACGCCTTCATGTTGGCAGAGTTGCGGCGACGTCTCTCGATGACGGCCTGCTCGTCCTGCTCCGTTCTGACCCTCGTGGCTTGGTCCACACCCGCTGATGGGGGATCGCTCGTTGACGGCACCTCTCCTCCCGCTGCGGCCCCCAGCCCGACGGTCGTGTCACGCAGGCTCCATCGGGTCGCCTCGATGCGCTGGCGGATGTCATCCGTGCGGGCGATGGGCGGCGGCTCGTCTGGCATGCTCAGCATCTCGGCCTCACCCGAATCCGCATCCGTGTCGGCTGATGGCCGGTCGTGGGTCTGGAGGGTCGCGGCCGCCCCCTCCCTCAGCTGCCTGTACAAGCGGGGCGCCCGCACGGCTCCAAGGACGGCAAGGAATGAACACACATCCGCGGGAGCCATCGAGACAATGCTCACAAGGGGGGAAGAGCCCGTAGAAGACGACACCTGGATGGCCGTGGTGGCTGTGGTGGGTGAAGTCAGAGGGCCACCCAACAGGTCTTTCTGGTGCGAACCGAATGTGGTGCCGAGCTGGGATGGGAGAAGGTGTCTGTCGAGGTCGAGTGCAGTAGTGGACGAGAGCAGCCGGTGGATGAAGGTGGGGTGCTTGGCCTCCAGCTGCAGGTAGCTCTCCAGTGCGGCAATCGTGTGCCGAGGGTCGCTCATCACCTCGGGCAGCTGTGGGACAAATGTCCATGAACACAAACACGCACGGCACGACACACGGATGGAGACCGGCCCGCACCCATATCTCTCTCTCTCTCTCTCTCTCTCGTATTTCACCTGTTGTTGTAGCAGAGTGAAGGCCCCCTTAAGGACGTCCAGCTTGACCTGGGCCTTCTGGAAGGCCGCGAGCAGCCGCAGAGTGAGTGCCGGTGGCGGCTGCGTGGCGTCGCACGCCAGCCGATCCACATAGGCCAAAGCGATCACGTGCAAGGCGCCACGGGGGCTGAGGAAACACAGACGCACACACACGCAGAAACAAAGAGCCGATCAGAGTCTGTCGAGTCGAGAAGGAGCAACTCATGGCATGGTCATTCTCTGTGTGAGTGAGTGAGTGTGGGTGTGGGCGTGGGCGTGTCCGGCTGACATTTGGCTGAGGGTCGCATAGCAGTGCGCCAGCACAGTCAGGTCCGACAGCGACAAGCTCTAACCCACCCGGCAGAACATACACGTCACCGTCACTGATAACTAACGCTAATGCGCGTCTTCCCTCCCCACCGCTCCTCACTCACCGACCCCGAGATTGGCGACGATTTGTTCGGTGCACTTGTGGAAGAGGCTGGGGCACTGAAGCCCGTGCACCAGCGACGCCTCCGACACCCCCCGCAGCACCGCCACCAGCTGTGCACCGTTCAGACTCACGCTGATGAACTCGGCCCTCGCGGCGATCTCCTGCCACAGGGCGCGGTCGCCCCTCTCCGGCTCGCTCCCCAGTGCCCACAGGGACGCCTCGGCGAGCTGCTGGGCGCTGAGCATGCGCACAGGCTTCCATCTGTCGAGGTCGGGGAGGAAGACATTGGCGATACCGGCGTGTGGGGCCAGGGGGCCGTGCCGATTATTGGGGTCGGCGAGCATGGTGGCTGCGGTCGAGTGCCACTTGTCCTCGTAGTCCCACCCACGGTCGAGCTCGAGCTCCTCGTCGACCATAGCATGGTGGTGGTGGTGGTCGTCCGCCCGGGTGTTTGCAGGGTCGTCGTGCCGGTGGCTCCATCCTGGGTTCCAGTTTTTGTCAGCTGATTCGCTGCTGCAGCTGCCGGCGGCTGCGGCTGACTGGGTGGTGAGATGGGTGAGCTGCGAGTCGCGTGCCTGCACCCACTCGAGGAGGCCTTTGCGGTGCCAGAAGTCCTTGTCGGGCCGCGGCTGCCGCCGCTCCGCCTGCCACCCGCTGGCGTCCACATCCACGCGCACAAACCGGGCCGACTCGTACAGGCCTTCCTCGTCACTCAGCTCATCAGACTGGTGGTCATCTTTCTTCTGCGGCGATGGCTTCTTGCGGGTGGTGCCGGGGCTGGGCTTGCGCTTCGCTGCGGTAGCGGCAGATCTGACGTTGCTGAAGGGGGAACGGGGCGCGGGGAGGCCTTCTAGCGTCCTGGGGATGAGCCACATAGCTCTGTTCCATTTGCGAGCTTCTTGCAGATCTGCCTCCAAGCTCGCAACGCAGCAGACTCTGAAACGGCAGCAGACTCTCCCTCCCTCGTGTGTCCGTGTGTTGAGTGAGGACGATGTCGTCGCGTCGGTCTAAGAAGAAGGGAGCTGGCGAGAACATCAACTCGAAGCTCCAGCTGGTGATGAAGAGCGGCAAGGTGGCGCTGGGCTACAAAACCACCGTCAGATCTATACGCACCAGCAAAGGTAACCACACACACACACACACACGTGCCCGGCTGACAACAGAACAGACAGGGAGGGAGGGAGAGAGGGAGGGGGGGGAGGGTGTCACCACACGAACGTGGCTCACCTATGCCCTGGTGACCTGTGCGTTGTTGGTGTGTGCAGCCAAGCTGATAGTGACAGCCAACAATCTGCCCCGCATCCGCAAGTCGGAGCTCGAGTACTACTGCATGCTCGCCAAGATCGATGTCTACCACTACCAAGGAGGCAAGCACACACACACACGTGCACCACAGACAGACGGCAAGTACCAGCAGCCACAGTGTGTCGTGGTTGTGCTCCCTCTCTCTCTTTGTGCCTTTGTGCAGACAACAACGAGCTTGGCACGGCGTGCGGCAAGTACTTCAGGGTGGGCTGTCTGGCCATCACCGACCCGGGCGACGCGGATATCGAAAACCTCGTCAAGGAGCGGTCATGACCATCACGACAGTCAGTGAAGCCAAGCGCGGGATGGACGGACGGCTGGGACAAGAGATGGACCACTGGACGAACAGCGTGCACACACATGTTGGAGTGGAGAAGCGCACTTTGGCGACTCGACTCTGCTCGGCGCACATGGTGTTGCTCGGTGTGGTGGACAGCCGTGTGTTGGGTGTGCGTGCGTGCCATGCTGCTCGTGTGTGTGTGTGTGTGTGTCCGTGTGCGTGCCGTCCTGTGATGCGACCTGAGTGACTTCCCAGACCGTTTGTTTGATGGGATCAAGTGAAGTGAGTGCCTTGCCTTCTTGTGTTGTGTTGCGATGTACACATTCACTCTCTCATAGCGACCGACCCACGCACGCAGTCAGTCAGGCTGTATAAACGTACACCGAGTCACGTCACACACGTGTGTCTGTCTATCTGTCTGTCTGGCTGTAAATCCTAACGCAGTCAACCAGGCAGGCACTCACGCAGGGCATCAGCTGTTTGTTCTATCTACGCAGAGAGTGAGGGCTCCACACACACAGGCAGGCCGACAGTAGAGCGCTCGATGCACGAACGGAACGCACGGAAGACTCTGACCGACCTGCGGGCAACTACACGCCTTCACGCCTCCTGCAGGCAACCACCACCCACGCGCACACCCACATCACAGCACGGCCATTTTGCCCCCACCCATCGCCGCTGCTCCAGGTTCCCTCTTTGTGTGTGTGTGTGGCTGACCGACCTGGGTGCGCAGCGGATGACGTCGTCTACACGGACAATCTGAAAGCAGTGAACGCAGGCAGGGCGAAGATGGATGGCACCGAGACGGTGGGGTGGTGGATAAACGAGCAGCGTGGATGCGTTTGTTCGTTGGTTGGGCTCTTTGTGACCGACCATTTCGGCGCCCTCTGCTGCGGCGCATATCTGGGAGAGCTTGGACTTGTGCGACTCCTGACACACGCACACACACACACAAGCACCTGTCGTATGTATGTGTTGTGGTGCAGCGCAGCATTTCCCGCTCGTTATTCACTGAGCTCACTCACCAGCACGCCGAGGTCCTTCATGTCGCCCACAGTGCCGTTGCGGATGTCTGCACACACACGAAAGCAAAACCAAACACAAAGCCGTGGCGACTACGTGGCGCGGCAGAATTCCCTCCCTCCCTCCCTCCCTTGGTGCGGTGCGCACCGATTCCTTTCGTGGTTTGTCCCCGTGTGTGTAGCGCCCGGAGCTGACCCACAATCTCGGCACTGTCGTATCCTGATGGATGGCAATGCATGGCATGTGGTGGTTTGGCTGGCGTGTGGTGACTGACTGACGGACTGACGGACTCACTGACTCACTGACTGACCGCCGTTGTCGAGTATGATGGTGGGTATCTGGCGGAGCGCCTTGGCGAACGCCTCGATGGCCAACGACTGATGATCAATGGGTACGGTACATGACATGGTGACCCATTCCACTCATTTCTTCGGGTGGTGTGGTGCATTTCTGTCTGTCTGTGTGCGTGTGGTGACTGACGGATGGTGCCTGTCTGCCTGCCTGTCGGTGGTGCTGGTGGTGCGTGTGTGTACTGGGTGACCTTTTTGCCTTCGACCGTCCTGGCGAGTTCGTCGACGGCGTTGGCCATGGCCATCTCAGCCGAACCGCCGCCCCACACCACACGAGTCTCCTGCACTCAATACGCACACACACACACATATACACATAGAGACATCGAGGGAGGGAGGGAGGGAGGGAGGGGTGGTTGGCTTTCTGAGTGACCTTGACGGTTTGCGAGAGGACTGCCAGTGCGTCGTGGAGTGAGCGCTCGGCCTCGTCGAGGACGTGGGTGGACGCGCCGCGCAGGACGATGGTGCACGACTCGCCTGACACAGACAGACAGACAGACAGACGGACTTCGTTATGGTGTGTGTGCACCGGAAGGGTAATCCCACCCGACCGATAGACGTACCCTTTTCGCAGCCTGAAAACTGGATGACCTTATCCTCCCCTGACACACGAGAGAGACACATACATTCGCGCACACTCCCAGGTGGGCAGGCTGGCGGGTTGTATGGGTGCAGTGCACGGTGTGCCATGGTGTGTGTGTGTCGGAGGGTACCGACCCACCGATCATCATTTCGTGTATGGTTTTGCAGTGGCCGAGTTTGGTCTTGTCGGGGTTGTCGAACGTCGACACGATGTCCGCACCCAACACCTGCAGACAGACAGACAGACAGACAGACAGAGACGGCCGTCGGGAGAGAGGGCGACCAATTGGGTCTGTTTAGTCGTTTACTCACCGCAGCGAGCCGCTCCATGCCGTCGAAGTCAGAGTGCTCGATCGCCATGACGCCTAAACACAGTGAGTGGTGTTCCTCTCTCTCTCTCTGTGTGTGTGTGTGTGTGTGTGAGAGAGAGAGATGGGCGCGTACCGGCTTGTTTGAAGAGCTGGTCGGGGTAGTTGTAGATGAGCTGTCTGTTGATGAAGACGTTGCACCCGTGGGCCAGGATCTTGTCCACCTTGCGCTTCATCTTGTCCTTCTCCGCCGCCTCAACAGCTTGCACCTGACACACACACACAACACAACACAACACAAGACACTCATTGTCTTCTACTCTCTCTTCCC